TAGTGAAGAGGCCAATGTTGTACACTGTACTCCTGATGCAGTCTTAGCAGTCTTGTTTTCAGTACTATTATCCTAATTATTTCTTGGACTGCATACTAATTATTTTTGATTCGTGCACAAAGAAAGCCAGATCCTTTGCAGCTCAGAGCTCTCTCACCATGCTTCCTTCCTGCCGAACTGGACAATCTCACATTGTCCCACATATTGCCAGACCTTTGCCCACTCGCTTAACCAACCTCTTTATAGCCTCCTTATGCCCTCTTCACAACTTCCTTTCCTACCCATTTTCACATCATCAGCAATTTTAACCATCATACCTTTGGTTCCTTCAGCCGAGTCATTTTTATAAATTGTAAATGGCCTAGTCAGTGATGCTCGCGTCCCACAAAATGAATAAGAAATAACAAAAAGAAATGTTGAAGCTCAGCATTGATTCCTGTGATGCAATGTTCGTGACAACTGGTCAACTTGAATTGCCACATTGTGCCTCATCTCTGTTTCCTGTTAGCTAACCAGTTTTCCATCCATGCCAGTATGATACCCCTAAAATAGGGGCTTTTATTTTCGACAATGACTTTTGATATAGACCCTTATCCAATACCTTCTGGAACTTTATATGTGGTACATCCACTGTCTTCCTTTATCAACACCATATATGTTATGATTTACTTCAATTCACTTGTGGGATGTGGACGCTGCTGGCTGGGTCAACATTTATTGCCTATCCCTAATTACATGAGAACATAAGGAATAAGAGCAAGATAAGGCCATTTGGCCCATCGAGCCTGCTCCGCCATACCATAAGATCATGGCTGATCGTTTCATGGACTCAGCTCCACTTACCCACCCACTCACCTTCACTGTTCAAAAATCTATCTTTGCCTTAAAAACATTCGAGAAGGTAGCTTCAACTGCTTCCCTGGGCAGGGAATTCCACAGATTCCCAACACTTTGGGTGAAGAATTTCGTCCTCAACTCTGTCCTAAATCTGCTCCCCCCTTATTTTGAGGCTATGCCCCCCAGTTCTAGTTTCACCCTCCAGTGGAAACAACCTCCCTGCTTCTAGCTTATCTATTCCTTTCATCATTTTATATGTTTCTAGAAGATTCCCTCCACCCAATTTCTGAATTCTAATGAGTATAGTCCCAGTCTACTCAATCTCTCCTCATTAGCCAACCCTCTCAATTCCTGAACCAACCTAGTGAATCTTCTCTGCACCCCCTCCAATGCCAGTACATCCTTTCTCAAGTAAGGAGACCAAAACTGCACACAGTACTCCAGGTGTGGCCTCACCAGCACCCTGTACACCTGCAGCATTACCTCCCTGTTTTTAAACTCCATCTCTCCAGCAATGAAGGACAATATTTCTTGTTGGCAATCTTCAAGTTGCCCCTTGAGAACGTGGGGGGGGAAGCTGCCTTCTTGAACCGCTGCAGTCCATGTGTTGTAGGGGTCCACAATGCCTTTAGGGACGGGATTCCAGGATTTTGACCCAGGGACACTGAAGGAACGGCGATATATTTTCAAGTCAGGATGGTGAGTGGCTCGGAGGGGGAACTTGCAGGGGGGTAGTGTTCCCATGTATCTGCTGCCCTTGTCCTTCTAGATGGAAGTGGTCGTGGGTTTGGAAGGTGCTGCCTGAGGATCTTTGGTGAACTTTTGCAGGGCATCTTGTAGATGGTGCACACTGCTGTTACTGAGCGTCGGTGGCGGAGGGAGCGGATACTTGTGGTTTCGATGCCAATCACGTGTGCTGCCTTATCCTGGACGGTGCCAAGCTTCTTCGAAGAGTTCAATAAATTGGTTCAATGTGATTTCCTTTCACAATATTATGTTGACTCTGCATGAGTACCTTGAAATTTTCTAAGTGCCTTTTTGCATGATCTTTAATGATAATGTCTAACATCTTTCCAATGGCAGAAGTTAAGCTAACTGGCCTGTAGGTACCTGCCCAGGAATTTATGGTCAGAAATGAGCAGGAATCTCTCCCGCTCTTACCACCAGCCGTCAGCTTGTTTTTGAAAGGATTTGCACATTATGAATACACCTTCCTTGGCTGGAACTTGATCCCAGAGCCGAGAGCCGTGGACATTACACGCTGTACCAGAAGAGCTCAGTTCTGAGGAGCTGCTTGTGAATTGTTGCAGGCAATTGAAAATCAATAATGTTTTTTGGAAATTTCAGGCTATTCCAAGAACAAAAGAAACAAAGTAGGTTGAAACTCACTCATGTTTTTGTCGCTTCTGGATTTGAGTTGTCAAACCTACCCTCTATAAATCTGGATGTCATCCAAAAATCTGCTGCCTGTGATCTAACTCGTACCAAGTCCTGTTATTTTTGTGTTTACTGGTGAGGTATTTAAGATTAGAGCACTTTTTATGCTTTGTAACTGTGAATCTACACTCCAATCTGTTTGCCAGTTGATTTTCCACAGTCCACGGTTAATCTTGACTAAGTCGGAAATCACATGACGCTGGGTTATAGTCCAACAGGTTTATTTAAAATCACAAGCTTTTGGAGCGCTGCTCCTTCGTTAGGTGGCTTCACCTCATGAAGTAGCAGTGCTTCGAAAGCTCGTGACTTCAAATAAACCTGTTGGACCATAACCTTTTGTCGTGTGATTTCTGACCTTGTCCACCCACAGTCCAACACTGGCACCTCTACATCATGGCTACAGTCTTGACCAATGACACGCAAGTCTTCATTTTCCTCAGATTCCTGTCTTTCATCAGGAGAAGACATTACACATGCCTCAGTTTACCCATCATTTCCATTTTCACCAACCTACACCAGCTGATGGTTAAGCTACGCCTAGATTTTAACATCTTCATCCTCGATATCAAATCCCTCACCCCTCCTGGTGACCTGCAGCCCTACATCCCTCCAAGATTTCTGCTTCTGCTCATTAAGCAGCCCAAACTTTAAACACTCCACCATCAATAGACATCCCTTACAGCCTGGGCTATAAGCTCTCAAGTGTCTTCCCCAAACTGCTTTAATTGTTTAAGATGCTCCTTTCAAACCTACATCTTCAACCAAATTTTGCTCATTCAACATCTGCTTGGGGGACTCAAATTCTAATTGATTGATAATGTTCCATGGGACATTTCACCGCGTTAAAGGGTGCTACAGAAATGTGCCTGTTATCATGTACATTCTCTGCACTGTCATTATCGATAACTGAAGATTCTCACCTGGCTTCTCACCGACGATTTCAACCACACGAGCCTGGCTCTCATCACCTACAGGCTACAAAGAGAGAGAGAGAGAGAGAGTGAGAGAAAACAGGTAAACCTACAGAGAAACTGACCTGAACCAGACAAAAGCAGGGTGGTAACTGGGCCAGATTTGGTGCTTGTTCTTGTCTTTATTCACTCATTCACGGACAGGAGCAACCCATCACCAGCTGCCCGTAAATGCAGTCGCTTGCTATTTCAGAAATCCATTAGCAATCAACTGCTGGAGTTACATGGAGGTCAGACCCAGTAAGGGCTCCTACCCAAAAAAGTTATTGGTCAACCCAACGACTTTTTTTTAAAAAAAAATAACAATCAATACTAGCTCTCAAGGTCACTGTTTGCTAAGACTAGCTTTAAATCCCAGTTTGATTTATTGAATTCAACTTCTACCAGCTGGCGTGCTGGGATTTGAACCCACATTTCCAGAGCATTAGCTGGCACCCCTGGATACAGTGACATTGCCAAAATGTCAACATCCTGCCACCCAAGTGCCACCCAAAAGTAGCAAAATGGAGAAAGCAGGGTTCCTGTGGCTAGTCTCTGGAATATTGAATCAGAGAGAGCAACATTCAGTACTTAAGTTAATCTCATACAGGAACAGTCTACTAATTGTAGATTGATGGCGAGATTTGACAGTGAAATCCACCTCTCAGTCAGCGTGGGCGATTGCAAGTCAGTAAAAAGTTTAAAAGCCGAAAGAACTGTGGATGCTGGAAATCAGAAACAAAAACAGAAATTGCTGGGAAAGCTGGCAGCATCTGTGGAGAGAAATCAGAGTTAATGTTTTGGGCCCAGTGACCCTTCCTGAGTTAACCTGAAACGTTAACTCTGATTTTTCTAATGACATTCCAAGGAAGGGTCACTGGACCCGAAACGTTAACTCTGATTTTCTCTCCACAGATGCTGCCAGACCTGCTGAGCTTTTCCAGCAATTTCTGTTTCAGCAAAACGTTTGTAGGTTTTAAGCTCTGGATCAGAAGCGCCAAGAATAAAAGGAATGGCGTTTGTCTGAACCATCTGGGATGCCTTGGGTAGATTCACTGCAACCAATCACTCCCATAAGACCACATGGGGAAGGATGCTCATACAAAGTCTTCCGGAAAAAGACAGATTCAACCTTGATAAACTGAAAGTTCATTGCATGGTACTTAACAGCTAACTACACCACATCTGAGATACGTAATGACCTCTTATGAGGCATCAGGGCTCATCTTAAGAGCAAGTACAAATCACTATTAACTACATGGATTTAACACTTGCAACAGGTACTGCAACAATGGAACACACAAACACATTGGTTAGCTCATCCCAGGAACACAGTCCTTTCTACCCTGATGGACGGAGCTTATTCCATAAGAAAATAAACAATAGGAGTTGACCATTTGGCCCATCAAGCCTGCTCCACCATTCAATAAGATCATGGCTGATGTTTTTGGGCACTCAGCTCTACTTAGCTGCCCGCTCACCGTAACCCTTAATTCCTTTCCTGTTCAAAAATCCATCTATCTTTGCCTTAAAAAAACATTTAACGAGGTAGCCTCAACTTTTCCGCTGGGCAGGGAATTCCACAGATTCACAACCCTTTGTGTTTACCTGCTGCACCTGAAAACCGACTTTTTGTGATTTATATTCCATGATGTCAGTTAACCCTTTGGAGTAGCAACTGGTTTATCCAATAGATACCTGTACAAATGTCAGCAGAAGAGGGGGAAACTTGCGCTCCACATTTGCCTGCGGCAAATCCTTCGCAGGATTTATGCGCCAGATTTTGCCACTATCCCAACGGATAAGGAACTACACCATCTTTAGGCTGATGTCTCAACACCAGTAATCTGACAGAACAATGGAATGAATTGATTTCGACGATAATGAGTGCACGTTTACAAAGGAAAAACAGAAAGATAGGCTGAAAACTGCCAGGAAGTTAAGAATTTGAGAGTTCCGACACTCTAGGTATGGAATGCAGAAACCAAACTCAACCGACACTTTTGCAGATTCAATTAAGAGTCAAAAACAGAGTCAGGGAGGATTGGCGGGAGAAGAGGGCAAGGAGAGACCAAGTGCAGACCCAAACAGTGAGATAGAGACAGACAGGGACAGATAGAAACGAAAACAAGGGGCAGGAATAGAAAAGGTAGGCTGCATTTATATAACACCTACAACACAGCAAAGCATCTTAAGGCTCTTAAAATCATGGAAGCCTTTCAGCGCATCGAGTCTATACCAACCCTCCAAAGACCATCCACATTTCCCACGGTTAGCCCACCTAACCTGCGTATCCCTGGCCACAATGGGGCAATTTCCTACGGTCAATCCACCCTAACCTGCACATCTTTGGACAGTGGGAAGATACCAGAACACCTGGAGGAAACCCACGCAGACACAGGGAGAATGCACCAACTTTGCGCAGGCAGCTAGCTAGAAGCACAACTGCCTCTGCTGAAATAATTATAATCAGAGGAAGCTTAAAACCAAAGCACAATCACAGAGTGGAGACAGAGAAAAGAGAAGGAGAGGGTAAATGATGGGAAGAGAGGACGAATGGGAAAAACAAAAAGTGAAACAGAAAAAAAGGATGCAGAGAAGAGATCAAAGACACACGCGCAGTACACAAAAAGTAATTTTTGTTTACCACACTTGGATGAGTCCAGTTGGGTAGCTTCAAGGCCTTTAGATAAAAGTGTTCATCCAGCTGGTTCTCTTGATTATAAAGAAAATTTAATTCCAGGCGAATTTCCTTTCCTCGGTTTCGCAGTCTTGAGAAATCAGGATGCTGTTTTCAACATTTAAAACAGAGCTCTAAAATCATCCGCAGTTTTGCAGCATTTTGTCAATCCTCTCAGCAAGTCGCCATACCTGATTCGTTAAATTCAATTTACAACCTGAAGGTCCCCACAGTTTTATCGTGTGCACAGTACAGACTGTACAACCAAGTTACATTTGATGCATTTGCATTTATCCCCTTCCTGTGAGAGTCATGGCCCAATGACTAGCACTTACACCTCTGAGCCAGAGAGTTCAAGTTCCATTCCTAACGCCCCAGCACAGGAATCGACCTTCATCTTTCCAGTGCAGCATCACGACACTTGCATTAACGGAGATGGCATCAAATCATACAGCACGGAAACAGACCCTTCGGTCCGACTCGTCCATGCTGACCAGATATCCTCAACTGATCTAGTCCCATTTGCCAGCATTTGGCCCCTGTCCCTTCCTATTCATATACCCATCCAGATGCCTTTTAAATGTTGTAATTGTACCAGCCTCCACCACTTCCTCTGGCAGCTCATTTCACTCGCGCTCCACCCTCTGCATCAAAAAGTAGCCCCTCTGGTCCCTTTTCCCCTCTCACCTTAAACCTATCCCTTCTAGTTTTGGACACCCCTACCCTGGGGAAAAGACCGTGGCTGTTCAGCCTCTCATGATTTCATAAACCCCTACAAGGTCTTGCCTCGGCTTCCAATGCTCCAGGGAAAATAGCCCCAGCCTATTCAGCCTCTCCCTGTAGCTCAAACCCTCCAACCCTGGCAACATCCTTGAAATTCTTTTCTGAACCCTTTTAAGTTTAACAACATCTCTCCAATGGCAGCGGGACAACTTTTACATGAGAGATAATAAAACAGGGGCCTTCTCTGGCTTTGCAAGTGTAAAGACCTTTTCTGTGTTTTTCTTTTTGTTTGTATTTTTGACTATGGACCGTTGGTGAGGTCTCCTTTGGAGTTCTGTGTCCAGTTCTGGTCCCCCTGTTATAGAAAGGATATTATTAAGCTGGAGAGGGATCAGAAGAGAATTACCAGGATGTTGCCGGGAATGGAGGGTTTGAGTTATAAGGAGAGGCTGGATAGGCTGGGACTTTTTTCACTGGAGCGGAGGAGGTTGAGAGGTGACCTTATAGAGGTTTATAAAATCATGAGGGGCATGGATAAGGTAAGTGGCAGGTGTCTTTTCTCTAGGTTGCGGGGAGTTCAAGACTACAGTGCATATTTTTAAGGTGAGAGGAGAAAGATTTAAAAAGAGACACAAGGGGCAAATTTCTTTTTTTATACAGCAAGCGGTTCATGTGCGGAGTGAACTTCCAGAGGAAGCGGTGGATGTGGGTACAGTTACAACGTTTAAAAGACATTTGGATAAGTACATGAATAAGCAATGTTTGGAGGGATATGGGCCAAACACAGGTAGGTGGGACTAGTTTAGTTCGGGATTATGGTCAGCATGGACTGGTTGGACTGAAGAGTCTGTTTCCGTGCTGTATGATTCTATGACTGAAATGGGAGAGGGACTATTTTGTATCCAAGGATTGTGGAAAGGATTATGACTGTTTTTAATAGCAGATTACTAACATTCACTGTTAGCAGTTGTTCGCTTGCTCGCCAAGCTGGCTTGTTCTCGTTCAGACATTTCGTCAACATGCTAGGTGACATCATCAGATATTAAGGTGATTGACCAATGGGGAGTTCCAAACGTCAGTATACGATAAAGCAACCCATTCAGATCAAAACCTCAACTTCCACAGCAACCACCCCAACACCCACAAACAAAGCTACATTAGGACACTACTTAAACAGGCCAGGACACACTGCAACATTCCAGAATTATGCCGGGAACAGGAAGAACACTTATACAAAATCCAGGCTTTAAACGGATATCCCTGCAACTTCATCCACAGCTGCCTACATAACAGACAACAGGAGGACACAGTATGCCCTAACACACTGACCACGCTGCCCTACATCAAGAACATATCAGAACCGATAACAAGACTCCTAAGACCACTAGGAATCATGGTGGCCCGCAAGCCCATAGCCACTCTACGACAAACACTTACAAGGATTAAAGACCCCATTCCCACAACATGCAGGACCAATGTGGTTTACAAAATACCATGCAACGACTGCCAAAAACATTACATCGGACAGACAGGAAGGAAACTAGCCATCAGAATACACAAACATCAGCTAGCAGCAAAACAGCACAATGAACTCTCCTTAATACCTGTACATTTAATTGGGACAAAGTAACCATGGTAGCCCAAGCCAAACATAGGCACACACAGGAATTCCTAGAGACATGGTTCTCCAATACTTCAATCAACAAACATATAGAATTGGACCCCATATACAAACCCATACAGATCTAAACTGGAAATGACAGTACTCACCATAATGGGCCGGACAGTATAAATTCCAAGCAGAGTAGAATAACATCGCTTCATCTGAGGCTCCACTGATGATATCACCTCGCATGGTGACGAAACCTCTGAACGAAAACAAGCCAGCTCGGCGAGCAAGTCAACAACCTCATTCACAACCCGAGCTACAGATCTTCGCCAATTCTTTAAACTCACTGTAAGTGCTGTTTACACTGCTATTGGTTCAAGCCGGGGGTGAATCGTGGAGCCTGATTTCTAGCATGCTACCCAGTGAAGTAGCAGATTGTAAAAAAGTCATGATTTAAAAAGAGCGAGGAGCTGTCCCCAGTGTCCGAGCCAATACTTATCCAGCAAAAAACAGAATTAAAACAAACAAACTTATTTTATGATTATATATAGCTGTTTTGGGGGATGGTTGCTGCATGGAAATTGGCTAACAGACAGGCAGAAAATCCTGCCCCTGACACTGCCCAATTTTGGGGTGACACGGTGGCTCAGTGCTTAGCACTGTTGCCTCACAGCGCCAGGGATCTGGGTTCGATCCCAGCCGCGGGCGACTGCGTGGAGTTTGCACATTCTCCCAGTGTCTGCATGGGTTTCCCCCAGATGTTCTGGTTTTCTCCCACAGGTCCAAAGATGCCCTGGTTAGATGGAATGGCCAGGCTAAATTGCCTCATAGTGTCCAGGGATTTGCAGGCTGGGTGGGTTAGCCACGGGAAGGCAGGGTTACAGGGATAAGCTAGGGGGTTGGGTCCGGGTGGAATGTTCTTTGGAGGATTGGTGTGGACTCGATGGGCCGAATAGCCTGTTTCCACACTGTAGGGATTCTATGAATTTTGAGTGGATAGATCTCCAAGTTATAATGTGCAAACCAGGTCTCGGTGGGAGGACGCCGTTCAGTTCTGGGCATTTCACTTTAGGAAGGACGTCAAGGCTGTCGAAAAACTGCAGCATTACTAGAATGTTTCCAGTGATGAGGGATCTCAATTACATTGTAAGATTGGAGAAGTTGAGATTGTTCTCTTTGGAGCGGAGAAGATTGAAGGGAATTTATTCAAGGTTTTCAAAATAATGAAGGGAATTGAGAGGAGGAGCAGCTGACTTGCAGGGGCACAGATTTAAGGCAAATGGTGAACATGTCAGATGAGGCTAAGACTCCATCTATACTTCCCACTGCCTCAGGAAAGCAACCAACTGAATCAAACAGCCCTCCCACCCCGGTTACACTCTTTTCCATCAAGCAGTAGATATAAAAGTTTGAAGACACGTACAAAGAAATTTAAGAACAGCTTCTTCCCCGCTGTTATCAGACTTTTTGAACGGACCTCTCAAATGTTAATGTTGATCTCTCTGCAGCTGTAACGGCACTCTGCAATCTGTCCTGTTACCCCGTGTAGTACAAACTGCCTGTAAAGTACAGCAGACAATACTTTTCACTGCACCTTGGTACACGCAATAGTAATAAATCAAAACAAAAAACTTTTAATTTTCTCTTAAAGCAGTGGTTATGATCTAAAACGTGCTGTCTGAAAGGGTGATGGAGGCAGGTTTTAACAGTAACTTTCAAAGGGAACAGGCTAAATATGTGGAAGAGGAGGCACTTACACGGCTGCGAGGAAAAAGCAGGGACGAGGGGATTTCTCAGAAAGCCCTCAGAAAGAGGAGAAACCACAGAAATGTGGTGTTCTGCAAAATCCAACGTATTCTATTTGAAGCACAGCATCACCAGGGGACAGAGCAGCTCCTGTTCATCACCATTATGAAAGGTGATAATCGGAATTGCTTTAAGGGATGACGGCACCACTTCCTGATGTGGGCAGAGATCACAGAACCTTAAAGCCTAGAAAGAAGCCAGTCAGCCCATCACATCTATACAACTCTCTCAAGGAGTTGTAAAGAACACTGAAGCAGGAAGAAGCCATGCAGGTTAGGGTGGATTGGCCACGCTAAATTGTCCGTAGTGTTCAGGGATGTGTAGATGAGGTGGATTATGAAGGATGGGTCTGGGTGGGATGCTCTGAGGGACGGTGTGGACTTGTTGGGCCGAAGGGCCTGTTTCCACACTGTAGGGATTCTATTCTATGATTCAGCCTGTGTCAGCTCCGCAATTCAACATGATCATTCCTGATCGAGCACTGCAATGCCTTTTACCCACGCTTCATTTGATTTGATTTATTGTTGTCACAAGTACAGTGAAAAGTTTTGTTTTGTGTGCAGTACAGGCAGCTCATAACACACAAAGATCACGGGGTGATGGAACACAGCCAGGAATACAATGTTACGGCTGCAGAGAAGGTGCACAAAGAGCGAGATCAACATTAGATTTGAAATTTGAACTGAAGTTTAAAAATGCAGAACGGTTGTGAGAAATGCGAGAAGAAGATCTGCTGTACAGAGCCACCCTGTGTTGGCACCATCTTCAATCCAGTTTTGGTCACTGATGATCAAAAATCGATTAATCCTCTACTTTAAACTTACTCAAACACAGAACTTCCACAGCCCTCTCATGCAGACTGCACTCCTAATGCTCTATCCTAATCCCCCACCAGGCCTTGCAATTTCCTTCCCTTAACGTATACAACCAATTCTGTGTTTCAAAGTTGCTCAGTGCAACACAAGTCATTTGGTTGGTTTGCTCAGTTGACTGGACGGCTACAATGTGATACACTCACAGTGTGTGTCCAATCTCCATTCCACCAGTGCTCGCTTATAGAGGCCAGATTCTTTGTTAGGGTGGATTGGCCACGCTAAATTGTCCGTAGTGTTCAGGGATGTGTAGATGAGGTGGATTATGAAGGATGGGTCTGGGTGGGATGCTCTGAGGGACGGTGTGGACTTGTTGGGCCGAAGGGCCTGTTTCCACACTGTAGGGATTCTATTCTATGATTCAGCCTGTGTCAGCTCCGCAATAGTGTGGCTTAGTGTGGAGCAGTGCTCTTCAACATTTTTAACCAATTGTCTCTTTCTAATGGTGAGAGAGGCCTATGCTCCTTCACAAACTTACCGTTACTTTGAATAAATGATAAGGATAGCCCAGTATTTATTCGGACCAGAGCGGCCTTCTGTGTTAATTGCATATCAATTAGGTGGGCATTAATTGAGAAAGCAGCCATGTTTGTACACCTTCGCTTATTGTGAGAGTATGAAAAGTATAAAATGCAGTACCTCACTGGAAGTAAAAACTAGGCTCCACTATTCTATCCTTTGCCACTTGGTGTCATGAATCTGGGCCTTTTTATTTTAAATGAAAATTATTGGTCTCTATGGGAATTGTAAAATTGTCAAAACTCTGATAGCCAAGCTGGATGAGTTCTAATGCGAGGATTCGAATTTCCTTGATAATTCTTCTCCCGTATTTGACCTGGCCTTTCCAATGTAGGATATTTAGCCACTCAAAGCATAGCACGCAATTTCAGTTGAAGAGAAGAATGATGGAAAAAGAATCACAACTGCAGGAGATAGAGTAGATGCACCAAAGGCTCCATTTCTATTTATAAGCTTTAAGGTTTTGGAGCAGATTTGTAGCTCAGGTTGTGGGTGTTGAGGTTGGTTGGCTCGCCAAGCTGGTTTGTCCATCTTTGTCCAGCACGGTAATGAAACGTCTGCGGAACAACAAACCAGCTCAGCGAGCCAACCAACCTCAATTTATAAGCTTGTATATGTAATCACCAGACCCACACCCTCTCTGGAGAGCAGATGACAGAGTCAGTACTTACAGATTGAAGGGCTTCTTTATTGTGCTTGTCCTGCAAACAATAAACCAACCAATTCAAAATGTTGTATTTTTGTTCAAAGAAAGAATGAAGCATATTTATTTGAATTTTGCTGGAGAGAGAGACAGGCTCCTGAAGATTATTGCTTTGCCATCATCAGGACAAATGCAAGAATTTCAAATTTCAAAAGTGCAACGAATCCCTCTCAACGAATCTTGAGTATTGTCGAAAAGAGAGATTCGTTGCACTTTTGAAATTTGAAATTCTTGCATTTGTCCTGATGACAGCAAAGCAATAATCTTCAGGAGCCTGTCTCTCTTTTCAGCAATACGCAAGTTAACATTTACTTTGATAACATTTCTTTTTAGATCAACTTTGATTCTTGCATGTGGTCCTCAGAAATCTAAATCCAGGTCATCCTACCATTTTTGCCTGTCTAGACAGCTTCTTCCCCTTTCATTTTCATCTGATACTTGCAGAAAACCATCACTGGACTTCACACACAGGTAATGCCTCAGTTAACTCAATATTCTCTGATAGAGGGCATGCAACAGCATCAGTGAATACAATTTCCTTAGAGTCAGACATTTGTATGTTAAAGCCCCGCTCCAGGGACTTGGCTACAGAACCAATGCTGACACGGCTGCATGCTCTCTCACTCCAATGTCATTTTTCACATCAATCCATTTCAAAGATGGACAGGGCCTTTTGCCCAGACTAAGTTCATAATTTTGCTTGCAATAATTATTAACGATATCATTATCATCATAATGCTGCAAATGGGATCTTACGGTGAACAAATTTGCTGTCATGCTTCCAAAAACGCTTACACTTCGGAACTAGCTCATCGGCTGTAACCGTCAACTGTAGCACAACTGGAGACACGCTCAACTCGGGTTTGTAAGCTCTGGGTTCCAGTTCCCCTCCGGTACCCGAGAACAAAATTCAAGGCTGACACTCCAGCGCAGTACCGAGAGAGTGCTGCACTGCCAGAGATGCTGCCCCTCAGAGGAGGTGATAAATCGAGGCCTTCTCAGGTGGACATTAAACATCCCACAGCACTAATTTTCAAAGAAGATTAGCAGAATTATCCACCATATGTTCTGACCAATATGTATCCCTCAATCATTGCCACAAAAGCAAAGATAATCTGGTTGCTGCCACATCGCTATTTATAGTAGCTTGTTTTTCTCAAATTGGCTTCACTTCCTGCAGTACAAGAGACAACACTTCATAGAAATACTTCATTGTTTGTACAGCACTTTGAGACATTCTTTGTGGCTACTTCAAAATTTGAATTTTTTTTTAAAACTCACCAGGAGGGCTTTAACTGAATCACTGATTCTATTTTTCTCATTTTCTAATTTCTCGATTTCCACCTTTGTTTTCACCAATTGTTTCCATGTAGAGACCTGTTGGGAGGGAATAATTGAAACCAAATTCAGACCAGTACATCTCATTCACCAGTTTTACTAGCTTTTCTCTCTGGGCTGGAAATATACCGCTGTTCCTTCACTGTGGATGGGTAAAATTTGGGTTCAAGATGGTGCCGACACGGGTAACTCCTTGAGAGCTCCCTACAGCAGATCTTCTTCTTACGTTTCTTATAACCGTCCCACACTTTTAAACCTAAATTCTAAGTCTGTAAAAATTGCTAATAACGTTCTTTCAAATCTACTTATGGGTCTGAGGAATGTTGAACTTGCTTTGCGCACCTCCTGTGCAGTGCAACCTGTAACCCTCATTCTGTCTAAGCACCCTACGATCTGTATGTCCTTGCTCACTACGATCTGTCTGTACTGCTCACAAACAAAACTTTTCACTGTACTTAGGTACACATGATGATGATAAATCAAATCAAAGTTCTAGAACTCCCTCTTTAACAGCAATGTCTGTGTGTCCCAAAACAACACAAACTGCAGCAGTTCAAGTTCGTAACTTACCACCACCTTGTCAAGGGACAATTCGGGAGGAGTACGAAATGCTGGCCAAAGCAGCAAAGCTGAATGAATGCAGAAAGAAGTCTGACAATGAGTGGAAGATGTGAGGGAGGTGGAGCCATCAAAATACTTCAAGATCAACATCAAGTTTATCAACTTTGGAGCACAAACACTTCCTTCATTGTATATCCCCAGTCTTAAATCCCCCACCCTAGGGAAAATACACCTGCCATTCACCTTATCCATGCCCCTCATAATTTTATAAATCTCTATAAGGTCACCCCCTCAACTCCTACGCTCCAGTGAAAAATGTCCCATCTTCTCCTTCTATCTCAAATCCTCCAGTTCAGCAACATCCTGGTAAATCTCTTCTGAACCCTCTCCAGCTTGATAATATCCTTCCTATAACAGGGTGACCAGAACTGGACACAGTATTCCAGAAGAGACCTCATTAAGGTCCCGTACAACCTCAATGTAACATCTCAACTCCTATACTCAGGGGTCTAAGCAATGAAGGCTAAGTGCTAAATGCTGCTTTCATTACCCTGTCTACCTGTTACGCAAACTTCAAAGGATTATGTAGCTGAAGTTTGAAGGTTTCCACCCACGAAGACAATTCACAAGTGTTCTTAGATAATGAGGAGCAGAGTTTATAGTGTAGAAAGTGGAGTTGAGGATTATCAGATCAGCCATGATCTCATTGAATGGGACATCAGATTTGATGGGCTGAATGGCTTACTTGGTCGTATGGTGTATTTTGTCAGCAGTACTTATACCTCACACATTAATAACCCTCTCCCTCCCCCAATGTACTGCATCAATTGCTCCCCTCCCCATCCATAAGGACCGCTTTGAAAAAATGTTCCAGTGTTGAATGTATTAAAGGTTCAGACCCAAAGAGCTTTGGTCTTGGTCAACCAAGAATATGGAAATCATTTGAGAAGGTGGACTCGAAACCAGAAGAATAGCCACGGTCATGCTGAATTGCCCTCTTCAGAGGCAATTAGGGACGGGCAATAAATGCTGGCCGAGTGAATGATGCACCCAACCCGTGAACAAATCGCAAATGAATGGTGTTGAAGATTCAGTACGGTTTATTGTTGCTCCTGTTTCTTGCCCTCAAACCTCCAAAACTTTGGTCAACTGCTCAAAATCTCCTTAAGACTCTCCCGGGTGGTCAGATTTTACCTGATTTACCCTCTTGTGATGTGCTTTGGGAACATTTTATCGTGTTAACATTAGGAGCAGGGACCTCAAACCCACCCTGTCATTCAACAAGATCGTAGCTGATTTCCCTAAGGCCTCATCTCTTCTCCGCATAGACTGTCAACTCCCCAATATTTCAGAAATCCTTCCACCTGCTCTTTAAATACTCTGAGTGATCCATCCTCCAGGATAGAGAATTCCAGACACTCACCAATCTCCAGAAGAAGAAATGCCTTCAGGTTAAATGAGCTTCCCCCTTTTCCTGCAACTGTGCCTCCTAGTTTGAGATCCTCCCTGAAGTAACCCCTCAGAAGCCAGAATCCCATCACCACACACCCTTTATTCCCAAATGTGCAACCTTAGACAATAGCACTTCCTCTCACTGATGCAAAACATTAGTAGGTGTCATATAAAGACCCCCAGATTGCAGTGGTGATGTCGAGAATGGTATTAAACAGGAAAATAGAAACGCATGTGATCAGGGAATATCCGTGATCATGGGTGACCTTAATCTGCATATACTTGGGCAAATCAAATTAGCCACAATGCCTTAGAGGAGGAATTCCTGGAGTTTATATGCGATGGGTTTCTTGACCAATATGTGGAGGAACCAACTAGAGAGCAGACCATCTTAGACTGAGTACTGTGCAATGGGAAGGGAATCATTGCCAATCTAGCTGTGCGAGACCCCTTGGGGAAGAGCGACCATAACATGATTGAATTTTTTTATCAAAATGGAGTGAGGTTCTTGACTCAGAGACTAGGTACTGAATCTTAATAAAGGAAACTACGAGGATATGAGGCATGAGTTGGCCTTGATAGATTAGGGAGAGTTACTTAACGAGGTAACAGTGGATAGGCAATGCCAAACATTCAAGGAACGCTTCGGAGAACTGCAACAACTGTTTATTCCTGTCTGTCGCAAAAGCAAAATGGGTAAGAGGGCCAATCCATGGCTTACAAAGGAAAAAGACATAACGTCCGATTCAAGGAAGAAGCATACAGATTGGCCAAGAAAAGTAATAAATCTCTGAGAATTGGGAGCAGTTTAGAATTCAGCAAAGAAGGGCCAAAGGATTGATTAAGAAAGGACTATTAGAGTACGAAAGTAAGCTTTCAGGGAACATAAATACTGATGCTAAGAGTTTCTATAGGTACATGAAGAGAAAGAGATTGGTAAAGAAAAATGTAGGTCCCTTACAGGCACTAACAGGGGAACATATAATAAGGGACAAAGAAATGGCTGAGGAATTGAATACATACTTTGGTTCTGTCATCATAAAGATAGGATACCAGAATTGTTGGAGGATGCAAGATTTAGTGAGAGGGAAGAACTGAGGGAGATCAATATTAGTTGAGAAATAGTGCTGGGAAAATTGTTGTGATTGAAGGTGATAAATCCCCAGGGCCTGATAATCTATATCTCAGAGTACTTAAGGAAGTGGCTGTAGAAATAGTGGATGCGTTGGTGGTCATCTTCCAGGATTCTATAAACTCTGGGACAGTCCCTGCAGATTGGAGTGCAGCTAATGTCACTCCAATATTCAAAAAGGGAGGTAGAGAGAAAACAGGGAATTATAGACCAGTAAGCCTAACATTGGTAACGGGGAAAATTCTCAAACCCATTGTCAAGAATTTTATTGCAGTGCGTTTAGAAAGCAATGGCAGAATCAGACAGAGTCAGCATGGATTTACAAAGGGGAAAATCATGCCTGACAAATCTGTTGGAATTCTATGAAGATGAAATTAGTAGAGTTGACAAGGGAAAGCCAGTCGATGTAGTATATTTGGACTTTCAGAAAGCATTTGACAAAGTCCCACATAAGAGATTATTGTGCAAGATTAAAGTGCGTGGGATTGGGGGACGTGTATTGAGACGGATAGAAAACTGGTTGGCAGAGAGGAAACAAAGAGTAGGAATTAATGGATCCTTTTCAAATTGGCAGGCAGTAACTAGTGGGGTGCCACAGAGATCAGTGCTAGGACCCCAGCTATTCACAATATGTATTAATGATTTGGATGAGGGAACAAAATGTAACACCTCAAAGTTTGCAGATGATACCAAGTTGGGTGGGAGGGTGAACCATGACGAGGATGCACAGATCCTTCAGCATGATCTGGACAAGTTGGGTGAGTGGGCAAAACAATGGCAGATGCAGTATAATTTGGATAAATGTGAGGTTATTCACTTTGGAAGCAAAAAGAAGGCGGCTGATTACTACCTGAATGGCTGTAAATTGGGAGAGGGGAGTGTGCAGTGGGACCTGGGTGTCCTCGTGCACCAATCGCTGAAGGCAAGCATGCAGGTGCAGTAGATAGTGAAGAAGGCAAATGGTATGTTGGCCTTCATTGCGAGACGTTTCAAGCACAGGAGCACGGATGTGTTGTTGCAGTTATACAGGGCCTTGGTGAGGCCACACCTGGAATATAGTGTGCAGTTTTGGTCTCCTTTTTCGTGGAAGGATGCTCTTGGTCTCGGGGGAGTGCAGCGAAGGTTTACCAGGCTGATTCTGGGGAGGGCGCGACTGATGAATGAGGAGAGATTGACCAGGTTGGGATTGTTTTTGCTAGCGTTGAGATGAATGAGGGGGGATCTCATCGAGACCTATAAAATTCTAACAAGACTGGACAGGGTAGATCCAGGGAGGCTGTTCTTGATGGTGGGTGTGTTCAGAACAAAGGGATCACAGAATGAGGATTCGAGGTAGACCATTTAGGACGGAGATGAGGAGACATTTCTTCACCCAAAGAATGGTGAAGAAAGACAGGAAGTAGTTGATGCCAAACCATTGAATATATTCAAGAGGCAACTAGATATAACACTTGGGGCAAACGGGATCAAAGGTTATGGGGAGAAAGCAGGATTAGGCTATTGAGTTGGACAATCAGCCATGATCATGAAGAATGGCGGAGCAGGCTCGAAGGGCTGAATGGCCTCCTCCTGCTCCTATCTTCTATGTTTCTATGTTTTATTACCCACCTCAACATCTCAGGACCTGTCATGAAATGGGTCACTTTCAGCACAGCCATCCCATTTTCAACAGCTCATCATTCCCATTATCACCTAACTTCTCTTCTTCCCTTGCTTACTAGCAACAATCCCTTTCTCTGTCTACCCTTTTCGCTCTTTCTCTGGGCTCCTCCACCTGTCTGCTCACTCCTTCCCCTCCCCCAGCATCAGCATAAATACTACTTTTTCATAGCTGCTATCAGTTATAGAGTCATACAGCACAGAAACAGACCCTTTGATCCAACCAGTCCACTCCGACTATGTTCCCAAACTAAACTAGTCCCACCTGCCTGCATTTGGCCCATATCCCTCCAAACCTTTCCTATTCATGAACTTATCCAAACATCTTTTAAACGTTGTAACGGTACCTGCATCCACCACTTCCTCTGGCAGTTAATTCCACATACAAACTACTGTGTAAAAAAGTTGCCCCTTATGTCCTCTCACCTTGAAAATATGCCTGCTAGTCTTGAAACCCTCCCCATCCTTGCGAAAAGACTCTTACAATTCACCTCATCTAAGTCCCTCATGATTTTAGAAACTTCTGTATGGTCTCCCTTCAACCTTTTATTCTCCAGTGAAAACGTCCCAATTTTTTGAGTCTATTTTTATATCTCAAACCTTCCATTCCCAGCAACATCCTGGTAAATCTTTTCTGAACTCTCTCCAATTTAATAATATCCTTCCTATAACAGGGCGACCAGAACTGGACACAGTACTCCAGAAGAGACATCACCAACGTCCTGTGCAATCACAACATAACGTCCCAACTCCGATATACCATGGTCTGTAGAAGGGTCACTGGACCTGAAATGTTAATTCTGCTTTCTTTCTTCACAGATACTGTCAGACCCGCTGAGTTTCTCCACCAACGTCTTTGATACTGAAACCTGGTACTGTTTAGATGAGAGACAACAAGGTGCAGAGCTGGATGAACACAGCAGCCCAAGCAGCATCTCTGCTCCTCTGATGCTGCTTGGCCTGCTGTGTTCATCCAGCTCTACACCTTGTTATCTCAGATTCTCCAGCATCTGCAGTTCCTACTATCACTGTTTAGATGATGTTGCAGGGAGGGCAATATGTAGAGAATTGGCGGGGGTAACAGTTAAGGATACAAGGGAACGTGAGAACAAAGGCGAGGTGAACTTACGATGTCAGCCACATCCTCCCCGGTCAGCTCGCCCTTGCGATTGTGCACATTATCGAGCACAGCCTGTGTGTGACTGCAGACCAGCCCCATGTCCAGCTGGGGCCTGTCAGAGTACCCGTCCCTCACGTGTTCATACAGGCTGCTCTTGCAGCAGTAAGCCCGGAGGAAGATGCAGCGGACGGGGCTTTCTAACCGGGTAGCGCTCAAACGGCTCCCGCTCCTCAAGGCCCGGGGGATAGGGCCCGAAGAGAAGACCCATCGCTGGAGGAGCCGCTTGCACCAGGGCGCCGCCATGTTGCTGACCTTTGACCGCACGCACGGCACGTAACGCGATGACGCACCGTAATGGGCGTGCCGACCCGTCACGTGACGGGTTCCCCTACGCCCCAGCTCTGCAAAAGGCAGGCTTGCACTATTTAATCCTAAAGGTCTTATTTACCGTCTCCTAAGCCCTTTTAAAATAATGTTTTCCAAGCACTATGCAGAAAATATTTATATCATTGAAGTACAGAATGCTTACAGCGCCAAAACAGACCATTCAGCCCATCATGTCCATGCCATCTCTATAAGAGTATCTTATCTGATGTCACCACTATGCCTATTCCCCTAGCTCTGAAACTTTTAGTTTCTCTTCTAATAATTATTTCTCTTTCGAAAGCCTTATTGAATCCACCTCCCTTTTTTAGACAGCGTATTCTAGATCACAACCACTTGTGCAGTCATAGAGAATGTACAACACAAAAACAGACCCTTTGGTCCAATGCGTCTACTTTGACCAGATATGCTAAATTAATCTAGTCCCATTTGGCAGCATTTGGCCCATGTCCCTCTAAATACTTCCCATTCATGAACCCATCCAGATGCCTTTTAAATGTTGTAATTGTACCAGCCTCCACCACTTCCTCTGGCAGTTCTTCTATTGTCTTAAATCAGGGTCTTGCTGTTATTGATCCTTCTGCCAACAGAAACACTTTCTCCATATCTACTCTGTCTAAAACCCTTACAAATTTGAACATCATGATCAAACTTCTTCAAAATTGCCTCTAAAGAGCTATTGCCCATCCAGTCTACCCTCATCACTTAAGTTCCCTATCCTTTGTACCTGGTAAATCTACTTTGCTTCTTCTCTAAATCTTCACTTTCCACCCAAAGGTTCAGTGCCCAGAAATGTCACATTATTCTACAATAATGATTGAATATTATTTAGATGAAATGTATATTCTTTATCATTTAGACCAGCAATTATTGCATATTCCTATTTGCTCTCAGCTGAGTGGTATAAGATCTCTCACACTGTTCACAGTCAACTAAATTGCTGTGTCAACATAAACAGAAATTGCTGGACAAACTCAACAGCATCTATGGATAGAAAGCAAAAGTCAATGTTTCAGGTCTGGTGACTCTTCATCTGGAGTCATAAGTTAGTCATGTCTTTACGTGAAAAAGTTACCCCTCAGGTCCTTTTTACCCCTCTCACCTTAAACCTATGCCTTCTGGTTTTGGACTCTGCTACCCCAGGGAAATCACTTTGGCTATTCACCCTATCCATGCCCCTCATGATTTTATAAACCACTATAAGGTCCTCCTCAGAATCCAACGCTCGGTGGAAAAAGAGCCCCAGCCTCTCCCTATAGATGGTTTATTTTATGACAATCAGTAGATTCTTGTTCACCAATACCAAGAATAGCCTTTTATTCCAATTTTATTGAAATAAATCAATTTACAGATCAATGGAGCCAGCCTCTGGGTTGGCAGTCCTGTATCACAAACGTTAATCTACCATAGATAGTAGGAACTGCAGATGCTGGAGAATCCGAGACAACAAGGTGCAGAGCTGGATGATCACAGCAGGAAAAGCAGCACCATAGGAGCAGGAAGGCTGACGTTTCGGGCCTAGACCCTTCACCCTTCCTGCTCCTCTGATGCTGCTTGGCCTGCTGTGTTCATCCAGCTCTGCACCTTGTCATTAATCTACCATTGTCGATTTGCAAATGGAGGTGAGATTTTGATCAAGTTATTTCGAATAAAACAAGCTTTTCCTTCACTTTTCCTTTTGCACCAGACTACCCAGAGCGCTGGGGGTTAAGTGGATCCTGTTGCTGATATTGCTCTGAGCAAGTTTTGCCCACCCAGGGCCTGGGATCACGTGATGGGGCGGTGGCCCGGGGGTGGGGTTTAAGGGCGGCGGAAGTGACGTCGGGAGAGACGTCACGGCTGGGGGTCAGAAGCTGGTGGAAGTGGCCGGAGCTCGAGCGGCGATGGACAATTCGGCCAAGGAGCGGGAGGCAATGGGCCTGATGGCCGAGGCCGAGAAGAAGGTCCGCTCGGCCCGATCCTTCATGGCGTCCTTGTTCGGGTGAGAGGTTAATAAACGTGTAGCCCCCTTGCTGGGGGGGTGTCTGGGCAGGACCGGGCTGAGAGACCCCGGGGGGGTCCGGGCAGGACCGGGCTGAGAGACCCCGGGCTGAGAGACCCCGGGGGGTCCGGGCAGGACCGGGCTGAGAGACCCCGGGGGGGTCTGGGGTGAGGTTCCATGTAAGGGCCTGGTTAACACCCTCTGGGGAGGGTGAGAGAGAGACCTATCCAGGAGCTGGTTGATAATCTTGAGGTGAGGGGTAGTCCTTGCAGGACTAGGCTAGTAAACACTGGGCGTCTGTGCTCAGGCTGGTTAGTAAATATGCAGCCTACTGTAGGTCCCGCAAGGCTGGTTAATATAAGCTTGCTGTGGGGTTACTTTTGAGCCTGATTTAATAAACACCTAATATCAGGTGTGGTTATTAAGCTTGGCCTCCATTGAGTTATCTCATGTTTGCCTTTAGCTCTTGAGCCAGTAATCTAATCTGACAGGTCAACATTGCATATTGAGCAGTGTTGTTTCTTGTCTACAATGTACACCCTAGGTTCTGTCTGCACAGTCAGATCTTCATGTTCTAATGGTGTGAATCATTGATCGATCTTTAACTCATCTTTATAATGCTAATTGATCTTGTGTCTTGCTGTCTGTCTGTGATTGTTGCATCTATATGCTTGAGTGAATTCTTGAAGTAACTGGTCATGAAATGCCCTTAAAGATGTGATACAATTTGTTTCTGCTATGACAAATGAACTCAATGGCCTTGAGAGTTCAGAAGTTCCTAGGGCACGTAATTACTGACAGGCCTGGTGCCCCTCAAGCTGGACAGTGACAGGCTGAGGTTAGTGTGATAAATTCAATAATTCAGATTAGGTTCATCTGTGTATGAATCTGCTGAATGCTTCATTTTGCAGCTGATCTGTTCCATGAATAAATTGTCTGTTTTCTTTTAAACCAATCAATTTAGTTTAATAAACATCTCATCCCTTCAGGAGCCTAAAATCAATGAGTGCCTTTTAAATAAGGTTGCATTTTATTGCTAAAACATTGCATTGGGCAGTTTACCTAGGGTGAAGTTTTAAAGATGATCGGGGATTAATTTGACATGTCACTCTTTTATTCCTGACTACCTTGCAATAAACAAACTGTTCAGCTCAGTTGACAGCCTGCATCAATGCTAGAGTTTTTTATTTGAAAAGGAAATGTTGCACTTGTAGGGCTCGTATGACTTCTGGATTTCTCAAAGCACATGATAGCCAACAACTACTTTTACAATGTAGTGGCTATTGCAGTGTTGGTCATGCAGCAGTCAATTTGCACACAGCAAGTCCTATTGCTAGAGGCAATGGTTTGGTGGTAACATCATTGGATTAGTAATTAGTAACCCCACGAGCATCCACTAATGACATACATGTCAGTGTGGTGCCCCTTCAGTGTGGCACGAAAGTGCCTGTTAAGATTGGATGGCCACGTCTCCGGATTTGTTCACCTATCTATGATCTTTTGACTCTCCCATTAACATGCTACAGTTTTATTATGTGAACTTTAAAAGGAGCTTTGAACAGTGTTGAATCTACAGGCTTTTGGTGATATTGTGGTGCAGCAGTCCTGTAATTCTGTCTCTGTCTCCTTCACTATATATTGTCACTGAATCCATGAGCAGGTTGAAAACGATATAGAAGCTAACTTTGAAAATGTAATTTTTGTCTAGTATAAAAATTCCAAGTCTTTGGAATATTGTGCTGCAGGAGAGATGCTATATGAATTTGACGATTTTTAACCTTTTACATTGTGGTTTCAACAGTTTGGATGAGCCATGAATATAAGCTTGTATCTTGCTTGTTATTTGACTTGACTTGCAATTTCAGGACTGGACTCATCTCCTGAAACGTCAGCTACAATTATTTTTAATCTGGTACGACACATTTCCAGGGCAGGTGAAATTTGAACCTCTTTGCCCAAAGGTAGGCGTGCTACCTGTGCACTACAGTGGCCCCTAAACTGAGTTATATTCTTTTGTTCTTCATCTGAGTTGTCATTGGGGCAATTAGGACCAATGTGTATGACAACCACTGTTTGTGTTGTTCTGTAGCAGTTATTGTCATAATCCAGTTTGTTTCTTCAGTTGAACAGTGATTTCAAAATGATTTTAAACAACTTTTCAATGACCATCATTCCATTGAACTAAAGTTGAGTGGCAAACAGTGGGGTGAAGTTCGTACCCATCTTCAGTCATAAAGCACTGGCAGCAAGTTACATTTCACGTCCATGGGCTACCATTCACTATCAGTGTTACCTGAATTGAGCATGTGAGGACACAAAGTACAGTACTTAGCTGCTTTTGAATGCTATTTACCTTTGTTACAAAAGGCCCAAAGGGGGAGATTACAGTTTAGCTTTGTCAAAAGTTTTTGTCTCGGTTGAATTTACTGAGAATCTTGACTTCAGAACAATCTGTATTTGCGATGTGTGACCCTGAAGAAACTGCCATCGTTTGATTTTCTTTTTTTGAATATTTTACCACCAGAGTTTAAACAAAATATACACAGAACCACAGCAAGGGAGCAGACTCTTTTGCCCTTCGATCTTATTCTCTCATCTGGTGGCTGATCTGCAACTTAATTCCATACATCCAAATTTTCCACACTATTCCTTTTATCTCTCAATTTTAAAATTAACAATTGTTAATCAGTTGCCTTTGTGAAAGAGTTGAAAGCCTCCCACCCTTAGTGTGAAGTGTTCTCTGAACTCCTCCTGAAAGGTTTGGCTGTCTCATCAAGACTGTGCTGCCTGAACCACTGACCCAAACAGCAGAAATTAATCTGCTCCCAGTGTCTGATCTATTATCACCAATATCTTGATGTAACAAAGTCATTGAAACCAACAACTGACAAGACATCTTTTTTTGTAAATTGGAACTTTCTGTAGCCATCCCCAACAAATAGAGGATGCAATGGCCTCATGGTATTATCTCTAGACTGTGTTAATCCAGAGACACAGGATAATGTTCTGGGGTGCTG